TGGCTATACTATTGTGACATGACGGTCGAAAGTCGGAGTGGTGGAGCGACGTCCATTGCTAAGTAACGGCTCAGTAATCACGTTTCTGTGGAAACGAATATTAGTAAAGGCATTCCTGTGTCAACAACTAGACTAACAAGAGGACAGTTAACTGTTCGACATGTTGACTTATATTCGGGCCGCGTGGCAGATATAAAAGGGAGTTCTTATGGGCATTCAGTGCAGAGATTCTTCATAGAGTATTCGTCAGACAGGAGTTCAGAAGTAGTTGAATGTGTGAGCTGTTATAATTGGTTGCAATCGCAAAGAAGTGCCATTAAATCCAGAACTCATTATTATTAGTCACTCTAACGTCGAATACATGACACTATATAGCGTCGAATGCTGAAATGATAGATAAAATAATAAGCCTGTTTTTATTTTTTATGAAAATAAGGAAATTAGGTCAACAGTAAATTTTGGAAAGAACTAATCTTCAAGTTTCCATTGATAAGACACGGACTGCATAGAAGACGACTCATCTTAACAATTTTTCTACTCTTGCATGCGTATTTGTTGCAGCGGTGATTTTTTTTACCGAGCCGTTGCCTGGCAACAGTAAGGGGGAAAAATACTGGTGGGAGGGATTTATGATTTACGCCGTTGAGATTGGCTCAGTTGCCATGTTATATATGTCAAGTTTCATAAAGATCTGAATTACAGTGTTTTTGGACTTCCTACACTCCCCGACACCGTAAAAAAAACAGAGAAGACAGCGTTTCGGAAACTGGATCTCTTTCCATCCTCATCCGAGGACCTGAAACGTGTTTTGTGGTTTTTTTTTTCTTTTAGAATACCGGACGATGGACAAAGTCCAAAATGCCCACTATTTCCGAGTGTTATACACCGTTGTCAGAACCCTTTATATACTTAATAGAGATTGGTTGAGACATCTGAAAATTGTTTTAAGGCTGGTGGGATGTACAGACACACCGGTGTCATGGTGAATTATTCAAACTAAGGCGAAGAATTTGGGGGGGGGGAATTCGGAAAGACGCGTTGGTGACTCAGTCGGACCACTCTCTCGAAATTTATCTGGATCGACTGAGGAAAACCACGAAAACATCAGTAAGTGTAGCTGGTATCCCAGTCGAGTATAGATCGTTACCGCTATAGCATCCTACTCGGTGGATCAGTCGGTAACGAATGCCAGTTACGGAATAAATATAGTAAACCCTCGCTAATCCGGAGTAGTTGGTGGGGAGGAGTTCATCGGGATTGGTGAAGCAAAAGGTAGCCATAAAAGAGAAAAAATCTTAGAGCACAAATAAATGGAAAATCTAATAAGTAGAGCCTTTATTTAAGAACTGTAAAAAAGACAATAAATTTATTCATCGCTAGAAGACTCGGAAGTTGTGCTTGGTTTTAAACGTAATAGTGCAGGTCTGAAGGAACCGTAAAGATTTGTCTGAAGAGACAACTGACTCATCTGCCTTCCTAAATGCCATATGTCTTTTAAAGTACGTAGTCAACTGTGAACAGCAGTTTTCAGTTTTCATATTTCGATCCGAATTAACTGTAACCGGATTAGCGGGGGTTTACTGTATTTACTTTTTTTAATTAGGAAGTGTGAAAATAAGGACTTACTTACTTACTTACTTACTTACTTACTTACTCACTCAAGGAGCTGAGCCCTTCTTGAGGAGCCGCCAATTCTGCAGCTACTCAAGAATTTCCCAGCATTTTATGAAACCCGAAGGTTCATCACCGTGTTCACAAGAGCCCTCCACTGGTCCCTATCCTGAGCCAGATCTATCCTATCCATACCATCTCATCCTATCTCTCTAAGATTCATTCTAATATTGCCCACCCACCTACGCCTTGGTCTTCCCTGTGGTCTCTTTCCTTCTGGCTTTCCCACCAATAGCCTGTTTTAATATTTGCTTTTTATTTTAAAACTTTTAATTGAATTTTCTGTTGTCTGATGCCGCTTGTGACACTTCCTTATTGAAACAATGCTACTATTCTTGTTTTATTGTGAACTATTTTAAGGGTCCGAGTAATGGAACGCCCTTTTGCTCCTTACTGAAACCATTCCTTTGACCTTGTTTGCTGAAAGGTACGAGACATGGGTTAGTTATGTCCGCCAGACCTGCTGGTTACATTTCAACTAGTGCAATAATCTTTATAAGAATCGGCATGAAGGTCATGCCATCCGTGACAGTATTGTTGTTAGTTGTAGGCATTTCATACCCTCTTGGGTAGTTCATATATGTGAAAGGGGCGGATAGACAAACATGGTGAGATAGTTTACTAGTAACAGTCTTATATAAACGCTGAACGGTTGTAACACAGGGACTAGACGTTTCGGGAAGACCAGTAGTACTTGATTTGTGACGCTATCAGTTTATCAGTATCGAGTGTTAACGAAGATTAGTGAATAATGAATTAGGATTGTGAAGGAAGTGGTGGGTGGGATTCAAGAGTAACCTCAGGTTAGCATGTGTTCCGACTGAGATTCGAACCCATCACCTCCCGGATACAAAGGCTTACCGCCACATCGAAGTGCCCGAACAGTCCGATATGGAGAGATGCTTCAGTTTATACGGCGAAGGCAGCGGAAACTGTATATTAATAGTCTTATAACATATGTATACATTTGTGTGCATTGTTTACACCATGTGAGTACAGATTCTGTTTAAATTATATTAGACATCACTGCCAAAGTTCTACACCATTATCACTTACGCATTCAAAGTATTTCATCTAGAATATTGTGGCATATAGACCCGATGCTGTCACACTTATTTAAGGGAGTGACTATAGACGGGGTATGGATTGGATTTTGGATTTATTGATTATTTATACACACCACTCGGAACTAAAAGGAATTAGAGCGCTATTGCTAATCTCCACACTTTACAGTTCTCTACAACAACCTGTGTCTTAAACTGCCGTTTCCTAGCAACGGCTTAAACTGTGGAGATTCTTCAGCTTCCCGCGCTGAGACCCTCTTGTCAATTCACTCAGTCCCCAACTGACAGCTGATAACTGTGGAACTCTCAGTCCAGTTCTCTGCTACGACTGTCAACTGTCTCGTTGCCATCTGCACTCAAATTATCATCGACTGCCGTATCTTATATGACTTGTTGCCATATATTCTCAGTTATCTTTACCTGGCCTGGGGGTTCTGGTTATAATCCCATGACGAACAGAACAGAAAACACAGTTTCTCAACAATACTTCCATTGTTGGGCATTGGTTCGTCGCGGAAAATTGTTTACTTCTTCCATAACAACGTCTGCACACGTTACACCCAGTTTGTGACAATCCTCTATTGTTGCGGGCGTAACTTAACAAGGCTGTATCTCTGGCTGCACAGTTCTTGCTGTCAGCAAATATGCCACAATATGTAGGCTGGCATATATTCTAGCACCTCTAGTTCCAGTATTGGTCAGTTACGGATACCAGACTCTGATCTTGGGAGAATTCGCGGCCCTGCCATGTTTTACATGCAATAAAAATTCCTCTAACAGAAATGAGTACCAGGAACCTTCCTGGAGTGTAAAGGGCGGCCGGCGCGTAAGGCTAACAACCTTACCACCGTCTGTGAGCCGATTGTCTAGAAAATGTTGGAGCCTTGACGTCTCACAGCCTGTTACCGGGATAGCTTTACCTATATGTGAAGTGTATTGTGCTATATGAAGGAAATTATAAACGATTGACTATTTTTGAGTGCTATTCATGGGAGATTGCTTTGAACTTCGATCTCGACGTATCATTCGATAGCGTGTAGGGCCGAAAAGGAATACGGGAGAAAGCAGGGGAAGTTATAGTACGAAAGCTTGTGTAACGAATGGTGAGGCGTCCCAGTGAATTCTCGGCAGATGTCACGCTACTTTATTATGTAATTACTGAAGTTGGATGAAGGCAGATAAGCATTAATAATTTTTACAGTGATAAGGCAACTCGGTAAAATGGCTACCATAAATATTGCCTTAAGGAGGAAAGCGCAGTGGTGCAATGGACTGAGAATGTAGAATGTTCAGTTTGTAAAGGTATCGAGAAACAAATATTTCATGCAATTTGGCGGATAATGAAATGTTATTTAAAGGAATTTGTGTCCAAAAATTTTGAAGGATAATTGTGGAACATAAAACAAGATTTTAAATAACGTGATGCGAAGCGAAGTAGTAGTAATGTGGGAAAGAACCGGACGCAGTTACTCTGAGAAATGTTTTCCGACGTTTCGGAGTAACGTGCTGTCTCCATCTTGCAATGAGAGAGTAAACGAAGCAAGCAGAGCGCTCTACGTGATGTTTGTTTCGTGCCGGTTTCTTGCGTGGCGTGAAGATGTTCCTCCGAAACATCAGTAATGTCTACGAGACTGTTTAGCTTTGCATCCCAGAAAGATTTTTTCTTCTTACTCATCGCTGTGCGAGCGTCGAATTCGCAACGGAAGTTTAGTATTTGGACTGAAACGATTAGTGGATAGAACGCCTTTAAATAACATTGAATCGATCTTTGGTTGGTTCATATCCAGCGTTGAAAGTACAAAGTGTCTGAATCCTTTGTGTTACTGTAATATGGAGTTGTGACACCATGAATGCCGGCAAATAGTTATCAACATTTCGAAGAGCGTGTTGTCCTGCCGCCATTTTACGGGAGTGAACAAAATGGACACAGCACTTTCTTTGAAGCGTCGGCAACCATCTAACAGACTGCTCGGCGTCAAAGCCCAGTCTTCGACCTAAAAATGGAGTCAGCATGTTTCTAACCTACCAAACTATACACGTCATAATCACAGAAGTGAGATTTTCATATTTCACGCGTTTATTCACGCGTAGGACATGTTTAACAGTTGATTTTGAAGGCAAAACGAGGTCCATAACATTAAGCACTCGGCATACGTAGTTACTGCTGCTCTGTAAAGAGTTCATGGGGTGTAACGAAAAAAGTATGAAATAACGAACATACGTAATTTATCAGGGATGTTTGTAAGATGTGTTTTTCTTTTGAAGGTCCTGTCGTGGTTGTGCAAGAAAGGGGAGGAGACCCTCAAGAGGCACTCGGAAATTGCTACCAACCTCCCGGCAATAAAAGAGCAAGAACAAGATTTCGAAAAGTTTTATTTCATCTCCATGGTGAGTACCGTAATTTTTAGTTTCGTGTTTCGAGTACCGAGTTCTCCGAGTCCATCGGTTCACATGGAACAATAGGAGAACCACTGGACGGATTTTCATGAAATTTGATATTTGAGAATTGTAGGAAAATAAACTGATCAGCGTTCTCGTATTTAATTTGGATCATAACATGTTTAACGACGACTTTGCTTGAAGATTCGTGTGTGCTTCGGCGCCTGTCTCGCTAAATATTTATCGGAAAGACAAATATTTCTAATTAAAGGTGTGGAGAGAAAGAACGCACATTTCGTGTCCGACGCATTTGCTGCGTACACCTTAAAGTTTAACAGATAAACTGGGGGATATTACAAGCACATTTTCGAACTTCTATTTTAAGCATGAACTGAACCTCCTGTATACAATCACTGTTCAGGAAGAAAGACATAAAGAAGAAAATTACATCTTTATTTAATCTTAACTGCGCTAGAATCCGATTTTGCTTTATTATTTTAATATACTGCTCTTTTACAGTGCGACTTTGAAACATATATTAAACAATTCTTATTTTATATATTTAATTTAGTTATAGAGTGCGTAACAGTAGTGAACGTCGAAACTTTCGCGTTGATTGTCCATTTTGTAGATCTGCCTAGTTGTGGCTTGTCGCCAGTCTGAATATCATAACGTAAGAGTGAATCTCCTTCTCCCGTTTTACTGTCAATCCTTTTCATGTTCTTCCTTTACGTTGTACTCCTGCTGCTCCGCCACCTGCCTCTCCTTTGCTTCTCTTCCTACACCTGCTTCTGTCGCTTTTCCTCCCTTCACGAACATCTGCTTCTCATTATCCTGCTGCTCCGCCACCTGCCTCTCCTTTGCTTCTCTTCCTACACCTGCTTCTCCTGTCGCTTTTCCTCGCTTCACGAACATCTGCTTCTCATTATCCTGCTGCTCCGCCACCTGTCTCTCCTTTGCTTCTCCTCCTATACCTGCTTCTCCTGTCGCCTTTCCTCGCTTCACCAACATCTTCTCATTCTCCTGCTGCTCCGCCACCTGCCTCTCCTTTGCTTCTCTTCCTACACCTGCTTCTCCTGTCGCTTTTCCTCGCTTCACCAACATCTGCTTCTCATTCTCCTTCTCTTTCATTTGCTTGTTCTGTTCTTGTTCCGTCTGCTTATCGTTTGCTTGTCTTACTGCATGCTTCCCTTTCTCCCCCTGTTCATGAAATATCTTGAGCAGTTGAGCCAATATCAGCTTCCCCGAGTTAGTGATCTGCATTAGGTAACACCCGAATGAGTATAATTTGCGCGATATTTGTGCCATCACGATTCACTGTCATCACCAAAGTTTAGGGAGTGTGTTGTGTTAACTTTTATATATCCAACTCAACACGATTGTGGATTTTGCTGTCGAGATTAAAATGAAGTGGATGGAAGAAGAGTGTCCTAACTCTTGCTGTATGCGAATGGGCACGACTGATATTTCTAACTTTAGAAACTAAACAAAGAGCTTTTAAAACTCTTACACTTGTGGGTAAGTAGAATTGAGAACTACAAAGTATGTTTATTCCACTGAGTACTGAAATAGTTGTTCTTTACTTTACTTAATCCGTTCCTCTTATACGCTACGGTGTCGAGTTCCCCCCCCCCNTGATCATTTTACAGACGGTAGGGCCTCTCGGACGAGTGATCAGCTCGTCGCAAGGCCCCGGCCTAAACACAGGACAGCACAAACACATAAACATACCAAACATCCATGCTTTGTGTGGGGTTCGAACCCACGATTCCGGCTTTCGAGCGGGCCTTAGACCGCGACCGGCGAAATAGTTTTCAAGAGTTGTATTTCTTCAGCTAAACACGTCGTTATAACACTAGTGAAAATAGGGCCAAAGTAAAATGGCGAAACTCTTTTGAAGTCATGAATTAATTTTGATTATTTATCATCCTTGTTCGAAGGTATTTGCAAAGTGTCAGAGAAAATTAATCTTGTAAGATTTGAGTTTTTCACGGCGGTGGCTATGAAGAATGCCATATTCTGGAATGTGACGCCGTGTAGGTATTATGTGAACAGACGTTTCGGAGGAACATATGATATTCATCTTCAAACAAACTCCATGGCATGTAGTCCGCAAGTGAACTATACCGAACGAGCGACCTCCGCTTGTCGGCGAAGTTAGTGCCAGCTTTAACGGATATAGGGTGTCGCGTAGTTTTTGCAACGGTTCCACACGGCCGTTCATCTCGGTTTTCTAGACCGGAGCCGCTATTTCCTTAAAATAGCTCCTCAGTTATCCTCACGAGGTTGAGTGGACCCCGTTCCAGACCCACCACTTCTCAGCAAATCATGTAGCGCCGGGAATCGAACCCGAGACCTCTGGATCTGTAGCCAGGAACTCTGACCACTAGACCACAGACGCAGTCATCGCCTCCATCTTCAGGGTAGAAAAATCCGCGCGCGAGGAACTAGCTTGAGCAGGTGGCTGCTGCCACATCCCAGAAGACGGCTTTCTTCAGAATTATTTTTCTGCGCGTGTCCCATCATTTAACACGCACAGCAACTTGGTTCATTTGTATGTTTACACACGTTTCGAGTGTGATTTGCCCACTTAGGCTGGAAATCGTGCCGCGATGAGTTAACATTTTGGTGATGTTGCTCGTGTAATTAATAAGCAAGCCAGCCTAGTCCATCAGGCTTATTTAACGACGCTGCCTCTAACTTAGACTACTGCGAATGAATTGGGAATGATGGGAAGGGAAGCAGCTATGACGTAATTTTAACCTACTTTCCTTATGTTGACAAAAATAGAAGTGGGCTTATGAGATCACCTCTGTTATCCCTCTTTTCAAGTTCTGAATGCCTAAACCAATCTTTATGAAACTTAGTATGTATATCATGACACCTGAGCCCATCTCAGCGGCGTACCTCATAAATCCATCCCATCAGTCTGCGTGTCTGTATATGTATCCCTCCTATCGTTGGTAAGCAACGGCTCGTTAAGAAACGTTACGGGAGCAACGAAGAATCATTATAGAGGCTTCGTTATGTATGCGGTCTTGCTGCGGTATACAGTCCTCCTAAACACAAGATTACAACACAAGAGTATCAACAATACTTTAACACACTAGGATCCCACTTCATAGCGGCAGGCGACTGGAACGCCAAACACACCACTTGGGGCTCCAGGCTTACAACACATAAAGGTAACATGTTACTACGAGCAATTCAACAGAACAACTTGGATTATCTCTCCACCGGTGAACCGACATACTGGCCTGCTGAAGGAGTAGAATACCTGACCTTCTTGACTTTGCAATCACCAAGAAAATACCAAGTACTCACTGCGACATAAAATCGAGCTTTGATCTTAGCTCTGACCACAGCCCTATTATCATAACGGTAAGCACTGAAATACTGACCAAGGAAACTGTCCCCCACCTATGCACCAAAAAAACAAACTGGGAAAAATACCAAGAATACATAAACCAACGTATCAAACCCAATACACGATTAAAGGAACATGACGAAATCGAAAAAGCAGTTCACGACTTTACAGTACTTCTCCAAAAGGCTGCTTGGAACGCAACACCCCCACACTGTCAAAAAACAATAGAAAATAATTTACCACTACGCATCAAAGAAATGGTCCTGGAAAAACGGAGAGCACGCAGAATATGGCAAACCACAAGAAATCCCAACGACAAAAGGTATCTCAACAGACTTACCCACAAACTCCATGCTACTATCCAAGACTTCAACAACGAAACTTTCGAATACTACATCACAAATCTGGAACCTAACGACCACTCATTATGGAGAGCTACCAAGAAACTCAAAAGACCCACAACTCCGATAGCTCCGCTAAGGCGAGAAGATGGGACGTGGGCCAGATCCAATTCCGAAAAAGCACAAATATATGCTGAACATCTTGTCAGAACTTTCACCCCTCTAAATAACCAAGAGGATGAAGAAATAAATTCCTATCTTGATTCCCCGTGTCAACTGTCACCACCAATTCGAACTATTACACCAAACGAAGTCATCACTCAGATTAAAATCACGAATTCACACAAGACCCCAGGACATGACCTAATAGTAGGGGAAACGCTCAAGCATCTACCAAGAAAAGCGATAGTTTTCCTAACCACCTTATACAACAGAATGCTGCATCTATCCTACTTTCCTGAACAATGGAAGTTTGCTCAAATCATTATGATTGCAAAACCTGGTAAACCTCCTACGGAAGCAACTTCTTACAGACCCATCAGCCTACTGCCAGTGCTCTCCAAGATATTTGAACGATTACTTCAAAACAGGATTCTAGAGCTATCTAATCCTGATAACCTCATACCAATCCACCAGTTCGGATTCAGAGAAGGACATTCAACTATACAACAATGTCACAGAATAGTTCACGCAATAAGAGATGGACTAGAAAACAAAAAAGTATGTGCAGCGGTATTCCTGGACATACAGCAGGCATTCGACAAAGTCTGGCACCAAGGACTCTTATATAAAATAAAAAAGATTATGCCTAGTCAACTGTTCCTGCTACTAAAGTCCTACCTGTCGAACAGATACTTCGACATCAAGACAACGAAAGTTGAAACTAACTACTATCCCATAAAAGCCGGAGTACCCCAAGGCAGTGTCTTGGGTCCGCTCTTGTACCTTCTGTATACAGCTGACATACCTACCGCCAATGAGACCACCATGGCCACATTCGCTGACGACACTGCGATCTTGGCGCTGGACCAGAATCCCATAGCTGCTTCCAAAAAGCTTCAGAACCATCTCAACATCCTACAACATTGGCTCAACAAATGGAAAATCAAAGTCAACAATGACAAATCTGTCCATATAAACTTCACAACTAGATCCACAGAAAGCCCACAACCGATGTTAAACGGTGAATTTATCCCTCGGAAAAATGAAGTCAAGTACCTGGGTCTACACCTTGATCAGAAGCTAACGTGGAAAGCGCACATAAAGGCAAAAAAACTACAGCTCAACATTAAAACAAATAA